GATGGAACAAAATTCCGATAACCAAATAAAAGCATATATATATATATATATATATATATATATATATATATATATATATATAGAGAGAGAGAGAGAGAGAAAGAAAAGAAAGAGAGAGAGCGATGAACATGATGTCATCTTAAACTGACTTCTGGATGATATGGATTAAAATGAAAATAATTATTATGCAGTTTTATCAGCGTGACATCCACTGAGGTTTTTCTTTTTGTATATTGCAACGATTTTGCATGAATTTTGTATTTTTTATTTTAGCTGAAAGCAAAGATAATATCCAAAATATTTGAATGAAACTTTCATATACCATAATTTTAGGTTAATTTAAATATATAGAAAAATGAAGGCATAAGATTAAATTGTAACCAGTAGTATATGGGTTAATATTTCCACATTTTTATCATGTATTACATAAGGTTTATTGCATTTGTCTTATAATATCGATTTAAGCCAAGATTATTCTCAGCAGGAGATCCTTCTTCCAATTAATTTGTTATACTGACGTCTTATCACATGATATTACATTGTCCATCATAAATAAGTAAAATATATTTTCTTTGTTTATATAGTAATTGTAACCTCCGTATTTCTAACTGATATCAGTTTGTGCTGCGCTCCGAACGTATACTTGTGAGAGACTGTCTACTTACCTAAAGACTGCATGCTTGCCCAAAGAAAAGTATTGAAGTCGGATGTTTTCCTAAATTCGAACACAACTCCACGGGATAATAATTGTGTATTTTATATGCCAAGTTGAAATGATTATAAAATTCCATCGTCAAATATGATTAATTAATTTCAAAAACTTTTTACTTTTTACAAATTCATCAACAAAATTCATTGATTAGCGAAGATATTTCATTTGTGAAATTCGGGCCTTGATATTATCTGGATCTTTTAAGTTCTCTGTTAAAATAGTTGCTTCATTAAAACAACACGATCTAAAAGGAAGAAATCCTGTCTCTCGAGTAATATAGTACTATAGTTCCACCAGTCCAGATCTTTAAAGCTAAGATCCTGCATTCCATAAATACATGATTAAATCATCTTCATTCACTTCTCATTCCACTGGTCAGAAAGTAGTTCCACATGGTAGATTTTTTTCAAAAAGCCTTCAAATCATGGAACAGACACCCGAGAGGATGGACCCATTGTCACTACCACCTTAAACGTGACAGTTCCCTTGAAGATAGAGCGTTAGAAAATTAACCCTTTAACTTGAGTGGCTATTGTGGGTAAATATATAATCACTGCCAGGAGTTGATATTCGTGCTAAATTCAAAATGCTGATTCTCAAAGCGAATATGATTTTAAGACGGGTTTAGTGAAACCCACAATTTCCCGCACTTCTTAATTAAACTATCCTTAATAAATATAAAAGACAATACCATTATATTATTAAATCTGGGTACATTTATGTATGAATTATTTTCGGCCATTAGAAAAGGGTTATGGTTGTATTTGGTTTTGTCAATAAATATTGTTCCGTAATTTTCCTTTTTCGCCAGTTTTACCTTGAAGATCCGTTTACCTAGGTAGTTTTGACTGGCTCCTTAGGATTGTTCTAGTTTATCGCTCTACTTAGCGTATTGAGCACTCTAAGTCGTTGTCTTTTTACTCGTTTTGGACTTTTTTCTTTGGTCTTGGAGCTTGAAGACTTGATGACTGTTTTGCTTTGTTTTAATGTTCTTGGTTCTTTCTTTTTTTTATTTCAAATTTTTACTCAGGTACCCATTTGTTCTACTGCAAGTTGAGCTATCCGAGGTTTTTACAAACGAGTAAAACCATACATATATATATATATATATATATATATATATATATATATATATATTGTTGAAGTAGCACTTATACACCTCCGTTCAACCAAATGGTTAGTATTAAGCTAGGAGAGAAATTCACAGCTTTAATTGAAAAACACTTTCCTACCAATAGTAGATTTAATAAAACACCCTAAAATTAAGTTACAGCTGCACTGAAAATCTAGAAAATATAATAAAAAAACACCATAATATAATCCTGAATAAACCTCCATGCCAGAATCGTATTAATAAAAACCCTACATTTAAATTAGACAAAAATAGTGAAAAAATATGTGATTGTAGAAACCCAGAAGACTGCCCATTGGAAAATAAATTCCGCGTAAAATCTGTGGTATACCAACGTACTATCTCATCCATTGAAAGTCCTAATACTAATATGATATACATTGGGTCTACGAAGTATATATATATATATATATATATATATATATATTCAGAAATTTGAAGAAAAAAAAAAAAGAATAACTCGTTACACTTTTTACGTTACTTTTTGGGAATATTTTTTCGATAAATCGTACTAGGGAAGTAACAGGATGGAAAATGTATTGAAATAGTTAAATATATCGTTCCAAAGCTAAAGACAATCTTGAGAAACAGGAAAAAAACAGTTAGAACCGAAGCAATGAGTGTTGAACTATTATGTAATGTCGATCGTACTATATGGCAGTGAATGCTGGACAGTATCCACATATATGAAGAAGAAACGGCCATGGTTCTATAAAAGGATACTTTGTGTACTGTGGACTGAACATATGGTCAACGCCTACGATTTAAAGAAAATGGAAAGAAAAAGGCCACTCATATTTTACCCATCACTACCAGCTTAACCTGAAAGAAGAAGAAGAAGAACAACAACAACAACACTAAGAGAGGAGTAGGAGAAGAAGAAGAAAAGTGGGGATGAGCAAGAGGAGAAGAAGATAAAAAAGAAAGGGGGAAAGGGATGAGAAGAAGATGTAGTTGTAGTAGTAAAATTAGTAGCAGTAGTTGTAGTAGTAGTAGAAGAAGAAGAACAACACCACCAAGAGAGGAGGAGAAGAAGAAGAAAAAAGGGAGGGCGAGGAGGACGAGAAGAAGAAAATGAAGAAATGAGGAAGGGATGAGAAGGAGTAGTAGTAGTAGTATGAGAAGAAGAAGAAGAAGAAGAAGAAGAACAACAACAACACCATTAGAGGAGGAGGAGGAAAAGAAGAAGAAAAAGGAGGGACGAGGAGAAGGGGATAAGAAGGAGATGTAGTATTAGTAGTAAAAGTAGTAGTAGTAGTGGTAATAGAAGAAGAAGAAGAAGAAGAAGAAGAAGAAGAATTTTTACGGAGTGTAATTATTTCTGGTCCTTACTATTCCTCACCATTGTTTTACGTACAATCCCCTAAGTTAAGCTTGGGAATATCAGTTTCTATAAGCTTTAATGTGCGGTTGATTTACTGGATCATAGCTCTCAATTGTTAATCTGACAGTCGTATTGCAATTCGCATAGATTCATTGTATTCACTTACGCGCAAATACCCTTGGCAAAGTTATGAACCCTCCTCTTCTTCCACTAGTTATGGGTAAAAAACATGAGACTTGTATCACTAAAAGATTATTATCTCTAAATCTTATAATTTAATAATAATGCCTGGCTTTAAATAGGTTATAAGCTGTAGAAAACAAAACAAACAATCAGTCATTCATCAATGCTTTGTATATTTTGCATATATTATATGTAATATAAAAATGAACATCAACCTATGGCTTGATTCAGTGTGATTTATTATCGTATGAGATTTATATTGGATACTAAATAATCCAGTCAGCTTGTATATATCGTTAAATTAAACCAATCCAGCGCTAAATAGGAGGGCGAATCCAAAAGTAATGAATTTGTTTTATTACAGAAGTAAATATGGGGCACAATCAAAGTTAACATATATCCAGTTATAGCTATACGTCACACGTTCACATCCGTACTTCTCAAAATCTATATATGATAAGTTCACATCCCTAAAATCTCAACATCGTCATTATGGCGTTCAATGACAGTGTTCCACGTAGAAGTGAGGCATCTACCTAAGTTTCATAAAATTCAACTGGCATTTCCTGCAGCCAATTCCTTACAACAGCTTTCCCTTCTCTATCACTTAACTTCCGGCTTAAGACCATATTATGTTGCATCACCGGTTTCCATACGATCACCAAAGTTAAGCAATTTCGAGCTAGGTTAGTACTTAGATGGGTGATCGCTGGGGCATACACGGTACTGTAAGTTTTTCTGTGCGTGTGATGTACTGGATCATGATTCAGAATTTTTTAATCGGCGAGTCGAGTTTCATTTCCAGTCTGGTTCGATATATTCACTTATGTGCAAATGACCTTGGGAAAGCTATTAATTCATCTCTTCTACCAGATATGTGTTAATTAGTAACACTTACATCACTAAAACCATTATCAGCTCTAAAAAACAATTCTAACAGCCATATAATATTTTCTAGCTTTAAATAACCAGCAAAAAGTTTATAAGCCGTATAAAACGAATTAATAACAATAACGACAGTCTTCCATTTTTATTGTCGACTGAAAAAGGCATTCAGGGAAAAAGTTATGTTGGTGATGAAGAAGTGAAAACATCTGGGAGGAATTAGCTTTATTTGTAGGCAGTTGATTTTACAAAGCTGGTGTATGTTCTCTCATTCTTAGGTAGAAGACTGTTATTGAAATAGGTGATGACTCTTTTGAAAAGTTTGTGTGTGAACCTGTGATGTATAGCTATGTATTGATGAATGATATGCTTAATACTGTTTATTGTTTCTAAAAAATTTACTAAAATAACTGTGGTAATTTTTGACTTAAACTAGTATTTTGGTGAAGGATATAGTACAGTTGGCAGCAAAGAAAATACTTTTATTCCGTGAATCACGTTATCTAACGAAATAAAAGCGTTTTCTTTGCCGCTAAAAGATTCATATGGTTGAAAATTGTTGAAACTTCCTCTCAAGCTAATAAGTTTCATATGTCAGTTGAGTATTAACTACTAACATTTCACAGGAACAAATTTTTTGTTTACTATAAGACTCATCCTTTACATGGCCCAGGGGCCACTCCAGGTAGAGGGTTATGTTCGGAGGGCATTTTTGTGTAGAAGTGGAAAATGCTGGTTAAACCTAGCCTTGAAAATGTAAGGATTGTTGTGATCGGGGAAAAATCATATTGGGAGTCGGTTTTCAGGACAATGGCTGGCGAAAAGCTGCTGCTCGAGTGGAACTTACTCTTCACCGATGGAATACTGAAAGAGACTTGTCTGGTGTCCTACTATGTAAGTGGCATATCGTAATCTTGTATTGAACGTTGGCAGGATCAGGGAATGTAGTTCGTTCGAGAACTTTCCATGGTAGTAGCCGTAGAGCAGCGAGAGGCTTGCTGCATACCGCCTCTGGGAGAGAGTCTGAAGGTTGGAGAATAATTTGACACCCACAAGGGCTTGGAGACGCTTTTAAGTCAATCAAGGCTGGAGAGTGAGGTCTGGGCAGCTACCGCCAAAATATGACAACATTACTGCCTTTGCTTCTGCTTAGTCAATGGATGAGTCACATGCCGTTTGAAAAGAGTTAAATTAAGTTATTTAAATCTTATTTAAAGCTGATTAATGTTTATACTTGATTTCTGCTTTGTACTGCATGAACGTAAAAAAAAGAAAAGCATTAGTCAATAATTAAGACGAAACAGTCGCCTTTAATCATGCCAAGAAAATATATCTGCTACGTTTCCCTTAAGAGCTGTAAAACTCTTCTCACGTTATTTCCACGATGTTTGCACTCACTGATATACGGAGTCAATTAACTCATTTCATAACCACAGAAGAATTAAGACTAAAACTAATAAAATAATAAGAAAAACTGGATACGTTTGTAGAGAATTGCGAATGAAATCAATGTGCTGTTTTTCATTAGGAAGCTGACTTTTTCGTGTACTTTTTATAAAGGTCATATATAATGTAGTAATTAATAAATTAGTTTTAATATTTGAACGTATACTTCTATCTGACATATTAA